GGTTCTCTGAGGAGGAGATCTTGATCGCCTATTCTCCCAGGCCCCTATCCTTTGATTTTGTTGTAGTATGAGGGTGTTGGTCTTATTGATAGCAGCGAGCAGTGTTGCCATGACCAGATTAGTGTTTAGAGGGATGGGAGATGGTTGCATTACTTCTGGCAGTTCCTTGGTGAGATTCTTGGAGTGGCCCTTGTCCAAGAATTGGTCGTCGCCACGCCAGGCATCAGTGGAATCCGGAGACGCGGTCTGTCCATCTCGGAAGCCCAGGTTGCTCTCGAGGTGAGGATGTTCCTGACTTCCGTCGGTTTAGTGAGAAGAGGAAAGAATGGTCTTTCTGGTCATGTGAAGATCATCATGGTCGGCCATGATTAGTGAGAAGAATCTTGAAAAAAGTTACTTTGATCTTAGGTTTCAAGGAAAGAAAGATGGGGAGAGAAGATTCATGCAGACGACGCCACTGATCTTTCCGATTGATCAAAACCTGGGAAGTGGCCGGAAGATGATCTGTAGTCGGGCTGTGATGTTGAGGAGAAAAGGGGGTTGTACTTGCAAGGCACTCCAACAATCAAGTAAGAGTGAGAACAAGGAAGTACAAGCAAAGTATTAGGTAGTGAGTAGTGAATATTCAATACCTGGCCCTCACAAGCACGAGGGTTTATATAATTCCCCTGGCGCGTGGCCATTGGTTTCTGATTTCATACCTAGATATGCAAGTTTGTGTAATCAAGTAACTTCCAGGACTTGGTCAAACCGGGAAGATGTGCTCGTAACTAGCTGTTGGTCCCGAGGAGGGGGTTAGCTTCTCTAATCGGTTCCTGGTGGCCTGCACAACCTTGATGTCGGGTAGGCTGAGAGGATGCTCGTCAGTCGTCCTAGTCCAGTGCTGGTTTGGGGAGGGGAAAATGGCTGAAATGCTTAATGGGTAGCGGGTAATCCGGGTCACGACCGTGCGGGTCGTACCAAAGGAGATGTCTTGGACTGGGCCCAGTCAAGCTGTCGGGCCAGTCTAGAACATATTTCAACTGCATTTACCTAGTTCTTACCAGTGTCCCAACCCCAAATTTAAGATTTTCACAAATCATAAATTAACAAAACTTATGGTGAGGGATTGTTTGGGCTCATGGTTAAATTATGCGGTTAATAAACAAATAAAAGGGTAAAAGGATCAAGTGGGGTTAACGAAGGATAACATAAAATGGTTGGCTGGAAAGGCTCAGGGTTAAAAACAAACAAGTGCCTCAGTGTATATACGAGTGCATTGAAATTCCAACAAATACTTACACAAACTAAGAGTGACAAAGACATACTTGAAGAACTCTCATGATGATATTATGTTTGGCTTTTTTTATCCTCTCCATGTTTGTCACAGGTTACAAAATACCTCTAGTGTAATGTAGCTTCGACTGTGTCTCGGATGGACAGTACTCCTGTATCAGTCCAGTGTCGGAAAGTTGCGTCCAATCATTCACCTAAGCAGTACCAACTTTCGGGAGTTTCTTGGAGAGCAAGCATAAGTTATGTCTTTTCATCCACTAACTACAAGCAATGCTTGTTATCTAGGAAACCCTCGAAATTTGATACTGCTTAGATGAATGATTGGACGTGACTTTCTGACACTCGAATGATACAGGAATACTATGCACCCGAGACAGAGACGAAGCCACATTACACTAGAGGTATTTTGGAACTTGTGAGTTATTCCAAACATGGCGAGGATCATAAAAATCCAAACACAATATCATCATGAGAGTTCTTCAGGTATATCTTTGTCACTCTTAGCTTGCGTAAGTATTTATTGGAATTTCAATGCACTCGTATACACACTGATGCACTTGTTTGTTTTTAACCCCGGGCCTTTCCAGCCAACCATTTCATATTATCCTTCGTTAACCCCACTCGAGCATTTTACCCTTCTCTTTGTTTATTACCCGCATAATTTAACCATGGGCCCAAACACTCCCTCACCCTGCTTAGATAAGTGTTGTTGATTTCTAATCTGTGAAAAATCTTAAGTTTGGGGTTGGGACACCGGTAAGAACTAGGTAAGTGCAGTTGAAATATGATGATAAAAGTTTTGGAAAAATAAAAAGAAAAGAGAAAAGAAATGAGAAGTACAATAAAGCACTTACCTAGAGGAAGATTTAGTCTGAAAAATTCAAAAAAAAAGTAATGCTCAAAGAAACACTTGAGTAGGCAATAAAGAACCATAAGAGAAAGGTTTATGATACTCGTGATTGTAAACAATGCAAATAACATAGTGATGAAAGTAACAACACTAACTCTGAGCCAAAAACCACTTATTTTCCCTTTCGTTTGGTTATCCCACCTTGTCCCTAAGCCCCCCATTACAACTATAAAAACCCTCAAACAATATGTGTGGTGTGTGTATGAGATGAAGACAAATGTTATTCAAGCTTATGAGTCAAATTTGCATGCCATGATTTTTGAGTGTAAACACTTTAATCCGAGAGGTTTGGTGAGAGTGTGAAAAGCTAACATGTGAAGAGATATTTCAATTTGGAAATGTGGCGGGACATCAAAAGTTAGGGAAGAAGGAAACGTTGAAAGGAAAGTGAAAAGAGAGTCAAGAAAGTTCTATGTGGTATTGTGGTAAGCTCCACTGACTTCTTCCAAATCTTCGCCTTTTAATCCTATCCTGACACGGCCCGTGTTAGGTGACATGGGTGGTCATGTCAGGACCACTACACTCTTCAAAAACTCTTCGAAAATCTTTGGAATGTCCATTTTCTCGCGCAAGTCCTTTGGGTCTTTTACCCAGGATCTGAGAACATATAAAACTACCACAAAACACATAAAGTGCAACAAAATAACGTAAACTAATAATCGTAGCAATGCGAGAATGGAAATGCGAAAAGTAAAATTAAACTTGAAAAACAATAAAAAGATGAAACAAAATATTACCGATTTCGCGGATTCATGCCGAATATGTGATAGAAAACTAGTAGAATTGGTGACCGATCAAGTGGGAAGTCTTCACCATCCATGGTTGCAAGCATCATGGCTCCGTCAAAGAATACTTTCTTTATAAAAAATGGTCCTTCATAAGTCGGAGTCCACTTGCCTCTAGGATCCCCTTGAAGAAGAATTATCCTTTTTAACACAAGGTCACCAGCATTGTAGCTTTGAGGATGCACTCTCTTGTAAAATGCCTTTCTCATCTTCTTTTGGTACACCTGACCACGACAAACAACTTCTAGTCTCTTCTTGTTGATGAGGTTCAACTAGTCCAACCGATTATGTACCCACTCAGCTTCATTTACCTCAACATCTTTCATAATCCTTAATGAAGGAATCTCAACTTCCACGGGAAACACTACTTCCATTCCATAGACAAGTGAGAAAGGGATTGCCCCAGTTCAAGTACGCATTGAAGTACGATAGCCTTGCAAAGCAAAAGGCAGCTTCTCATGCCAATCCTTATAGGTCACCACCATCTTTTGCATAATCTTCTTGATGTTCTTGTTAGTTGCCTCAATATCGCCATTCATATTTGGATGATATGGAGAAGAATTATGATGCTTGATCTTGAAGGTCTCACAAAACTTCTTCATTATCTTGTTATTAAGATTAGATCCATTATAATTAATGATCTTTTCAAGAATCCCATAACGACAAACTATATTCTGCTTGATAAAATGAGTAACCACTTGCTTGGTAATATTCACATATGATTCAGCTTCGACCCACTTGGTGAAGTAATTGATGGAAACCAGAATGAAGAGGTGACCATTGGAAGTAGTCGGCTCAATATGACCAATCATACCAATTCCCCGCATTGCAAAAGGCCAGGGAGAGGTCAAAACATTCAAATGAACGGGCGAAACATGTATTTTGTCAGCATAAGTTTGGCATTTGTATCAGATTCTGGCATGGTTGTAACAATCAGTTTCCATGGTGGACCAATAGTAACCGGATCTCAAAATATATTTAGTCATGGTATGTCTTTTTCCAAAGGAACCTTCATGCATCTCTTCGATGATCTTTGCTTCTTCGTTCTTGTCCTCACATCTGAGCAACATGCCATCATGATTTCTTTTGTACAACATACCATTAGTGTGGAAAAAATTGGATGAAAACCTCCTAAAAAACTTTGTATCTATAACAGATGCATCCTCAGAATACTCTTGAGCCTCAAGGTACCTCTTGATATCATGAAACCATATATTACCATCCAATTTCATATCAGCCTCATAGATCAACGTCCGAAAACCCTAAGTATCCTCGAAAATGGAAACTAATTGGTAATATGCGTGCTTCATCCTAAGATTTCCATGGGGTTATAGTTCCTTGAGCTTCATGCTCCATAGTTATAACAGAAGCTGCAAAAAGATGACAAAAATAGAGAATCTGGGAGTTACCTATCAGAGATTGTCCGATGCGTATCAACAGCGGCGAGGAGAAGTAGAAAATCAGAGATACTGACGTATACTTCTAGTATGAAATCTTCTATTAGTTTGTATCCTTGTTATACTTCTTTCCTATTCTTCTATTAACCTCTATACATGATTCGATGTTGAGAGCTGAACAGAGAGAATCAGGGATCGTTCGAGTTGATGGTTATGGTGCGAACGTACGTGAGGTTGAAGAACCGCGATTATGATGCTTCTATGGTGAGGGAAGTTCAGAGAGATGAATATAGAGCGGGGTTGAAGATTAAAATGAGAATTATTCAGAAAACTTCAGAGAGCTCTGAGGTTAGTATTCTGTTTTTTTTTCGTTTTCTGCATAATGAATCCTCTCCCCCTGATTTATGTTAGAATTTTGTTATATGGTTTGGTGAATCTGCGAGAGTTGGTTAGAGATTAAAATCAATCTCATCCGTTGATTAAAAAATCGGTTAGAGAAATAGATGGTTTGGATTGAGGTAGTTAAGGGCTCTAGAAGTTAGTTATATTTGTTACCATTCTGTTAATGATCGTTTTTTTCAATTAGCAGCTTTACTCTATAAGTGATTGAATCATTGAGGAGATTGGGATTAGCTAGCCTTTCAGATGATGCTCTTGTAGTTGAGCTTGAAGCTGATGTTCTGCTAACACTCCAGGTGCTCCCAAGGCTGAAATTTTTTCCTTTATAACAGATGCTGAAGATCCCCATGCACTTTGTAAAACTATAAAAAGTTGCTTTCTCCCTTCTTTACTGTATGAGGCTTTATTTTTTGAAGTGTCTTCACTTGTCATATTTGTAAATACTAGTGCAGCTAAATTCAATTTTGGATGAAATTCTAAAGCTTTAATTAGTGGCAATGGATAAACTGCTTCTCCACCCTGTTGAGAAAGGATGCGAGGGATATCAATTGATTCAATTGTTGTAGGCTCAAAAATGTTAGCCTGCGTAGCAGGTCTATTAGGATTAATTGTAACACGTGCTTCCCAAACGTGTAGATTTACATCCTTAGATAGAGTCACAAGTAAATGCAACATGGGGAGAAAGGAAACTGATTTAATTGGTTGTGAGCCAACTTGTTTTATTCCAATCATACTTGGTCTCTCTGTTGATACATCCCATGCCAGAAGTGTACCCTTCCGATCCCCAACAAAAACCCACTCCAGAGTTGGATGAAATGCAAATGCACCAGCCCCAATAAGCTTAATTGTATTGTCAAGTTTAAGTGTGTAATGAACAACATAGGTATGAATGTTATATGCCCGAACCAAACCTTCTGCATAAGCAACATACAGTACAGGAAGGTGAGGATGACAAGCAAGATTTATGATAGCCTTCTTCAATTCTGGCTTGATTATGGTAGGTGCCCGACCGCCTTCAACAGTTCTAACAACTATCACACTCGTTCTCTTAGGGAACCCAAAAAACACAATAGGTTGAAGTGGGGATAAATCCATATGAACTTTTGTATCAGAAGAAATTTGCTCAGTCTTTTTCTCAGGTGAATGCAGTACACAAGTTTGCTCCAAGTCAAAATCACAAGATCTTATTGTAGAATCCTGGAGGATTGCAATCACAGTGTATCCACTTATTGAACTGTAAGACATTCAAACAACAGGCGCACTAATGTCAAGAGCAGAAATCTTGCCTCTAGTTAATGCATCAAATTCGACGATGTAGGTTCCAATGGCAACAATAACAAGAGCTTGATGAGGATGAAAGGAAGCAGTTGGAGGCTGCGAAGGCCTAACCCCGCGCCTTATATGGTGTAGATGTAGATATTCCAACGTACTCCACTCCATCGAATCGCGTAAATCAAACTCAACCTACAACTTCAGTGCATTGCCGGAATCACAAACAGATTAAGCAGAATTCAAATCTTGAAGAACGCTACGAACAACAATGAATTTTCAACGGAATTGAAAGAGAAGAGGAATGTGAGATCGTGAATCACAACGATGAACTCCGATGCAGAGCTAGGACACTAATAGAAAAAAAGGGTGATGCTTTGATTTTCTTTTGAGTTTGATTCTAAAATGTTATTTCTTTATGAATTACCTGAACTGATTCCACACTAATGCAGGGCTGCATATGTTTTGAAAAAGTTGCAGCAGGGCATGATAGTTTTGCGCCAGATTTGGTTTGCAATGCAGGGGATGTTTCAAGAAAGCTTGAGATTCATGAAGGATTAATGAAGATACATTTTGGAGGTTGAAGAAACCAAGAAGTTTGAAGATATATAAGCTTAGGAATTTGGTTTTGGATTTTGTAGGTTTTCATGGATGAATTTTTATAATAGTATCAATGTATTTTGGTAATGGTGTAATGATAATGTTAAATGGTTTTGGCGTGAAAAAATGGAATTCGAGTAGCACTTGAACATGAGTGTATCATGGTGTGAATTATAATGAACATGAAGTCTATTTTAGATTAACAAAAGCTCCTAGTTTCCCTTGAATGATACAATGGTATATTAGATGAATCTTGAAACATAAGGACGAAACTTTGAAATGATTAATATTACTTGAATTGGAATTGAGTGAAGAACTTTGGTCTTGGCAGACTTTGATGAATAAAATCAATGAATATCTTTAAACGATTTGTATTCCCATTTCAATTCTCAATAAAAATCTCAATTCAATCTGAAACTTCAAGTCAACTAATATTGTAATAAACAACCAATCAAGAGCTAATATTCCTTGATCACAAGCAACTCAACTTCATTTCATGTACCAGGATTCATGCCATCCAATTCAGAAGCCCTCAACATCGACAACCAATACGATAGCAATGCCTTAGAGTAATCTTTGAAGAAGAAAACCTTAGTGGATGAAGGATAGGTAAGTGACACCTTGATCTATAGCTCAAACAATATGACACTTCTTCATTCAGTAAAAAAACAATGCATCAAACCTTTAACCAAATGGAAAACACGACTATAAGAAGACAAGCCTTGATTCATAAGCCTTAAAACGATCTTCATGCCCTAATTAAGGCTTATCGAGCTTTTTTAATGGAAAACTGTGTGATCTTGGTTTGTAACACAAGTAATTAGGAGAAGTCTTCAAATAAGGTTCAAGCTTGAGGAGTTGAAGGGAAGCTAATCAGCATAGGCACAAAATCGACCCTAATTCAATGAACCTCAACTAAAACCACAATCCTCTATGCCTTGAGTTTTCGTCGGATATTATTAAATATAGGGTCTAAACCCTAATCCAAGACGCTCGAGTCTTTAACCCTTGAGGAATCTTGTCTTTGAAGACATCCATGATGCTTGTAACCTAAAACCCTAGTTCCATAGCAAGAGTAATGAGAGAACTAATTGAACCGACTTGAGAAAGGTAACAACCTCAACCCATAGGGAAAAACTCTAATGCCAAAGATCCCCTTTGATCTTGTAACCATGGAATCGATGACATGCATGAGATTTATATGATGTGATGAGGGATTTTAAGGGGAAAAACAGGGGTATAACATTTGCCCTTATTTAAATGTATTCTATCCGAAGATACGAAGGTTAAAATCTTTGTCTCGACGCGATTGACGATACTTAAATATAAAACAAACCCTATTGTTGGCCCTAAGATGTCATGCGATGATTATGATTATGGATGTAAAATATAAACTTCATGCAGGTGAACAAGACACACTAGAGAAGCAAAAATAGAATCAACAGACTAAAAAAAGAGTTAGACCAGGAAAATAAATCTCTGGGGAACAACACAACTCTGGGGATAAAAATCCGAATCCCTTGGAGACAAATTAACTCCGATGGGGAAAAGAAGACTCAACTTTACTGGGGTAAAGCCCGGAGAAGAGACAAAATAACATCAACTCAATAACTGAGGAAAAAGTAACGGATTGCAATGATTAACCGATAACTGTGAACTATCCACTCATAGAGGAGATAACAAAAAGAGAGTAACATCAACTCACAGGGGATCGGCAACTGCTAACCCGAAGGGGCGAACAGAAACGGTAAGATAACACCGGCTCAAACATGACGTTAATCATCAAGATCGAGACTAGTAAATGAGTGATTGGTATAAGTACTTATGACTGGTAACAATGATTTTTTGTTAGCACTTATGGTTGGAAACAAGGTTTAACATCAAGACTTATGGTTGGAAACAAGGTTTAACATCAAGACTTATGGTTGAGAACAACTCAACTTTATTGGAGTAAGGTCCAATGAGGAGAAAGAGATAAATCTCGACTAAGAATGATGATGAACTACCCACTCAAGGATGAAGGTAGAAAAAACATAGAACAATACCAACTTTTATTGATGGTAAAGAAACAGAAGATACACCAACGTTTACTGAAGGTGAACTACCAACTTTCACTGAAGGTAGAGATACAAAAGATGTACCAACTTTTACTGAAGGTGAAATTTGCATTAACAATAACGAGTTTCCCAAAATTTTGGCATTCTACCTAGAATGAATCTCAACTCCTTATTTTACCAAGGTATTCTGTGATACGGTGGGAGAACTGACTTGAGGTTTTGCGTTTGTTTTCGCAAATGTTTCGGTTGAGCAAGAGTCGCCACCGACTTTTTATTTTATCCTAAGGAAAGGTTAAAAAGCACAGCAAAAACCTTTTGAGATGTTTTCTTGGGTTCGGGGAGTAGATTATAGAAAGGGAAGGTATTAGCACCCTTTCGATCCATGGTTATCCATGGGCTCTTAGTTACTCGCTTAGATCACTTGCCTTTTGTTTCCAATTGTTTTAAATGGTGCTTGTGGGTGTGTGTGGGTTTGAAAATGTTTTGAAAAGAAGCCAATGTGGTGGCAACCTTTGTAATGATCCATGTGGGGATGTATACAAAGATGTATGTCTTTTGAAAAAGGTTTTCATTTGTTTTTTAAAGTTGTTTTGAAAGTGTAGTGATGTGTGGTTTAGAAAATAGGCAAGTGTTTTGTTTTGCAAGTTTGATTCAAGTAACTAAGAGGTTATCTACTCCTAAATTTCTCAAAGATTATTGCTATGTTTCAACCCCTTTTGACAAGTTTGTTCCACCATTATATTTGGTGGACAATCTCATGTTAGGATGTAAAAGGGACGAGCGCGGTTCATCGTTTAGACCATGATTGCAATGGTGTCAAGTATCTTTGGGCATTTTCTTTAAGGGACTTGATCATTCAATTTCTTTGTTTTGTTTTGAAAAAATGTTATCGAGGGACTATGATCATTCAATTTGTTTGTTTTGCCCAAAGAGACCTAACATGCAATATGGCCCAATTTTGAAAGGCAACAAGTGGAGTACCCTAGGGGGTGCAAGTGTGATTTGTGTGTCCATTTTCATGCTTGTTTATCTTGAGATTAGGTCATAACTATTTTTTTGTCGTTTTTCGCATACAAACCCTAATTCTAACATGTTATCATTAGAAAGCAATAAAGTGCGAAAATAAATTTACTAAGCTATTACAAAACCAAATATGGGAAGGGGGGTACAAATGTTCAAATGGGGATATTGACAAGTAATGTAAACCTAAAACTATTACATCAATTTGAATTTATACAATTTAATTAATGTATAATAATTAAATAAAAAATGGAATAAAAATGCAAGATGCAAAAATGTTTTGTATATGTATGAGAAAAGTGTTATTTATGTAAAAATAAAAAAGATATTATTTTTGGAGTATTTTGAATTTAGGGCAAAACCCTAATTTTATTAAAGAAAATGTATTATTATTTAATTTAATACAAGTATTTATTTATTATGTACAAAAATAAAAATAAAATGAAGTATATTATAAAAAGGTATTTTTTATATCAAATATTAATAAAATGAAAAATTCAAATATTTTTATATTCTAACCTAAATATATTAATAAACATATATATATATATATATATATATATATATATATATATATATATATATATATATATATATATATATATATATATATATATATATATATATATATATATATATATATATATATATATATATATATATATATATATATATATATATTAAGTTCTAAATATGCATTATATATAAAATAATATATATTTAATATTTAATAAAATAAATATAAAAAAAAAGAAGCATTTTTTTATGTGAAATATTTTCAGAAGGTAAACAAAAATAAAAATGTATTTACACTATTTTTTTTTTTATTTATTCTAAATAATAGTATATATAATATTTATGTACAAACAAAAGAAATAGTCAAATAAATATGCAATAAATTCAAAAAATGATGGAAAAAATATTTTTATGTTTTTAATGTCATGAGAAAAAATAAACAAAGTCAATCAAAAAAGAAAAAGTCAAAAAAGTCAAAGAAATAAGCAAATGGGCTCAGGGGGTTCAAAAGCAATTATGTGGTGTAAATAAGAAAATATTCCAGGCCCAGCCCAGAATCAGTCACCTTCAACCTCTGAACAACATCACCCACGCGTTTTCTATCTCTTGATTCCTGGACTTTCAAGCAAAACTCATAACATGAAAAGTGTAGAGCATTAAGAGACGATTCCAACCATGTAAAGAACTTGACCTAACTCTCTAAGATGAGGGAGAATTTCTTCTCCCCCAATTTCTGACCTAACTTTTATGCCATGTTCAGACTCAAAATTCTTGCAGCACACGTAACATAAATGAAATCTAACTATATGGTAATGTTCAGGGCTATGATTGTGACATATTTTCTTCACAAACCTAAAGCTAACAATGCCTAATAAGAGAGATAGAACTTCATGAAGATACCTGTTCAGTTGGAATCGTGCTTTGCAATGGAGGATGTTTCAGAGTAAAATGATGATTTGTATAGCTTCCTTGAAGTGT